CTGCAGCATGCAGGGGGTCAGACCAGATGATCATAATGGTCCCTTCTGACCTTAAAGTCTATGAGTCTATGATTCTATGATTGGCCATGCATTCTGTTCTGTGAGGGTAAGGGTAAAATACAAATCGCTTCAAAATTGGACAGATCCTTACATACAGCTCTAATTGCAAATTGCAGGTGTTTATTCTAGCCAGCTCGGTCACTGGGCATAGCTGTCAACTTGGCAAGGTCTGCGGGACACATTATACAGTCTGTCAAGAGATCCAAAATGAGGAACACAAGAAAAATAGTGATGCCAGAAGCTTTGATGTGATAGTAAATTAATTTATTTAAAATAATCATTTTGCTAAAACCCTCTTTGATTCATTATTTCTGATTTAATCAATTTATAATAATGAAGGGACAATATTATAAAGATATGAAGGAAAGATGGACTTTTGGGTTTTGAACTGGAGAGTTGAGATGTTTGTCTCCTACAGCTTGGCACTTTGAGGAGCACAATATAAAATCTATAAGCTGGTCTACATTACAAATATTATTAATTCAGGGGACAGAGTTCCACTTTGCAATGTAGATGGGACCTTATCAATGTTCTTTAACTGGGCATCAGATATGTTACAGAAACATGCGCTTGGTTATAGATAGTTAAGATCCAGTTTAAATGGATCCACAAATTGGAGCCAGCTTGTAACCAGGTAAAGGGACAACTGTGTTGTAGCTAGGTCTCCTGACTTGGTTGTAATTTGTAGCATAGATGGACATTTATAGTGACTCAGTTGATAATCAGGGGTGAGGAGAAGAGAAAGGTCAAAACTTTCAGAGAATTTAGCATGTCAGTTGCTTTACATGGGTAATCCATTAGACAACGCATAGCATGATTTTTTTTTAAATCCTCTGGCTACCTTAACTTTTAAAAAAATTTCCATCCTTTTCAGTTAAGTTTATAAACCTTAATAAACTATACCTTTGGATTTTATAGCAGAGGATACTTTTATAGCTTTTTCACAGCTCTAATTGTATCCCCAATTAGTTCAAATTTCACAAATCAGATCCAGATTTCAAACATCCAAATTTAGGGATGCTCAGATCTAATGTTTTGCTCTGGGACCTTAAAATATAAGGGCTACAGGCAAAATTTGGTTCAGCATCAAGGTTGGTTTTGTTTGAATCTGGGATCTTCATTCAACCGATCTATAGAAAATAAATTATAGTCGTGGATCCAAACTCCACCCTGGTGGAAATGGGTGTACAGAAATTGGAGCAAGTCACATGACTTGCATCATTTATGTCACCAGTAACTCTGGTCGAGAAGTTTCCTTGGGAGCTGAACCAGTTTATCTCAAGCTGCATCTGGCTGTATTTAGCCCATATTGTTTCTCTGTTGATGTCACCAACATTTCTCGTTATTTAAAATTGGACACTCTAAAATAGCAGTGTTTAGTGCCAGTGTTTGGATTCAAGCTGCCAGAATGAAGGGAGGAGAATGTCCTAATTGGGTCTGAGCCTCCCATCTTGACATACGAGAGAGTCTTGAACTATAAAGTCTTAATCTCAGCAGATTGCTAGCAGCAAAATTTCTATATTTTCACTCTCCCATGAAATAACAATGACTCAGAGCAGAAAACAAAACTGTGATAGTAAATTAAGAGAATGAAGAATATAAATGGTAGTAATCACCTAATTTTGGAAGAGAGTAGTTCATATCGAAATACTGTTCAAAGTAGTCAAATACAACTTTAGTAACATTTGCTGCATATTCTGCTGTTTGTATTTGCTGTGGCTGTGCATATATCCTGAGCTGTAAAACAAAGTGGAGAAATACAATTAGAGCAGATCCCAGTTGGACAAAACAAATCAAATTATATTTAGCAAAGAGAAGGATAATATGGTTGACTTTTTTTTTCTTCTCTGGAAGATTAAACCTAACACTAAGACCTTTGTCTAAACCACTTATATGACGAGGTTTATGAAATGTCATCTTTATATATAGATATACATAGATTAAATCCATGTGTAACCGCCCCAAATCTGTGCACTATTCATCCATGAAACGTTATGAGCTTATTTTCTTCATTCCTCCCAGCCACTCTCACTCTATCATTTCCTTTTTTTGTCCAATCTTAGATTACAAGCTCTTTGGGTGGGAATTCTGTCTTTACTTGTTTTGTAAGGTACCATTCACATCTATGGTGTTACACTGTATAAGTAAAAAGTAACACTAAGGTACAAACCTAGGCTATATTTTACTAATCTATATTTTGCTACATTTGTCTGCTCCTCTGCTTTCAACAAATTCTCTCTGGACTTTTGATCATCACTTATGTTAATTATGATTTGACCTTTGACCTCATTTCCCAGTAATTAGTGGAAGCCACCACGTCAAATTTGAATAGATTTAGGAAACTTATTTGTTGGAAGACCAGCTATGCTTTTCAGTTTTTTGAAGGGATAGCTTCCCCAAATTAACACTCTTAAGTTTTGCCACTGTTACTGATAGACACCCTCTAAGAAACAATAGGTATGCATGCTCTCCTAAGACTAGTGCATGAGACAGGAAGGGCTGCAACCCTCTATCAACAAAACAGCGCAACTGACCATATAAACATACAAAGAAAACCAGCTGGGAAAAAAGGGTGTTTTTTTCCCTCTAGTCGTTTGGTATCTGAGAGTTTCCTTGTGGAATACAATTGTGTACCTACTTTTGTTACAACTCTCTGCTACAGAAGTGCACTGTATAGGGAAGAGGAGGTAGGGAACCCCTTCCCCACACCGACCTACCAGTGCAGGATTGCAACCTAGCATTTCAGGGCATTGGATCAAGGAGCTGGCACATCCTGGGTCCAGCAGGGTATGGTCAAATGGTTATACTTCTGGAGCCAACAGAGAAGGAGATGGAGACAGACTGACAGATGCAGAGGGAACCGATAGACATACACTCTCTGCTGTGGTCACTTTATTGTTCTGGCAGCAAAAGCTTTGCACTTGGGGATGGTGTGGGTGGGAGGGAGGAGAGTACAGAGTCCCCTGAACTTTTAAAGGGAAGGACATCACACAGTCGTTGGTCTCTCTATATGTATGTTTCATTTAGTGGATAGATATTGTTCCTTTTTGAAGCAATAGTGAAGTGTGCTCTGCCGTATGTTTCCTTCACTTTCCTTCCCAGCTCTGGTTACCCTTAGCATTCCTGTTCTGCACTGGCAGGACAGTTTCTCAACTTTTCATGGTTCATGTAAGTGTAGGAAACTGCCTTTAATAGAAGGGCTGCAGACTAAACTCTGACTGTTGACATTAATATTATAAAAATAGACTGGCAGTGGAGTAAGGTAGGAATAGGCATGCGTGATAGCTGCTAAGCCATCTGCAAAGTATCGTGCTTAGAGCTTGGCTTGTGAGAGTGATATTTTAATAGAAAATTCCAAAGCTGGTATGAGGAGGATAGGCTCTTTGAGGTAATATGCATGTTCTGTGAGATTTCTTACTTGGATTTGTTTATTATAACCTGCAAACTACAGACTAGTCAATTAACTGTGCAGTATGTTTGGATATTAAGGTGTATGCATGCACATTTTAAATCTATAATTACATTTTTTTAATGAAGAGGAGAAACGTGTTATGTCAAGTGCTGATTTTTCATGCCTCCACTATCTGTGATCAGGAACTGCCGCTGCCACATGGTAATTAATTTTGTATTACTATTTAGCAATGGAATATCCCCCAGGCTTAAGAGACCAAAGACCTTTTCCTTCAAAAATGTACAATTAGAGCTGGATGGGCTTTTTTGGTGAAACAATTTTCTTCAGAAAATGCCAATTTGTCAAAATCAAAACTTTTCTGAGAAAAGTATTTTGTGCTGACAAAGCTTTCGTCTGGAAGGTTGCTCAGGTCCAGGATGGAATTTGTGGTCAAAAGTAAAAGAGAGAGAATCCAGAATAGGCAGTAGTCCAGTGGTGAGGACACTCACCTGGGATGTGGAAAACCTAGCTTCAAATTCCTGCTCTGAATCAGGCAGGGATTTGAACCTGGGTCTTCCATATCCCAGGGGCGTGCCCTGACCATTGGGCTTATTGGTTATTCTAGTGTCTGCACCTCACTCTTTTTTGCACTCTCACACACATACCATAAATTCCATCCTGGATCCAAGAAACCTTCCAGATGAAAGTTTAGTCAAAAATGATAGGTGTCCACAAAAATGTTCACTTTTGATGAATCTGAATTGTCTGATGGAAAAAAACGTTCCTTTGAAAAAAAATCCTGACTGAGTCTAGGCTTTGAACTGGACAAAGGAGTCGGCCTGTGGTGAGGAGCTGTGGTTGGCAGTTGATAGGCTTCAGTACAAAGAAATTAAGCTTTCTTCAAGAAAAAGTGGTGAGGAAGATAACTGAAAGGGGAAAAAAAAACAAACCGCTTCTAAAATTTAATTGGGTTTTCATCAAGACCATGGGATTTCCACGAGGGTTGGTTTGCAATTACTGTCTGTAACTTTCCCTTCAGTAATCTCTTTACTCAGTTTAGTGTGCTTCATTTCCCTAGCTGATCCATACTCGAAAATCTCTTGCACCCGTCAGAACCTACTTTTACGTTTGATTTGTGTAATCTCCCTTTATGAAACTCAAAACATAGATTTAACATCTGATGTGGAGTAGTAATCGATTTCTTATGATCATTTAAAGCTGCAGGCATTTCATTCATTATCTCTTCCACCCTTATCTCTGCCAGATCAACAACTCAGAAGGGATCCCAAAAGAGTTTTAAGAGCTTTTATTATATATTGTGAGACTTCTGTGTAATTGCATTGTTTTGTTTTGCTAAAAAGTAATATATTGTGTTACAGAGCCTCACTATCTTATGCTGCTATGTAGTTAGTAGAGCTGGTCAAATGATTTATTGCCAATAATTAATCCAGTGAGCACTGGCATTTTCTTTTGAATAAATTGTCAGTTGATTTGTCCCATTGTTTGACTAGCAGTGCTGATCACTATGGTAAGGCCTGGTCTACATTTCAAAGTTTTACCAGCATAACTATTTTGGTTAGGGATGTTCCTAACTGAAATAGTTATACTGGTGAAAGGTCTAGGGTGGACAAAATGATATTAGTAAAAAGGTGCATTACATTTGTATAATTTATTCTGCTTCAGAACTGAAATAAGCTATACTGGTATTAGTACTTTTTTTTACCAGTATAATTGCATCCACATTAAAGGGGTGCTGCTGCTTTAGCTACATCTAAGCAGCAAAACTTTCTAGTGTAGCCAAATCTTTAGGCATTTTTATTGACTAACGTAAATAAAATGTGTAAGAACTATAGCCCAAACTAGATGGGGATTCTTCATGCAAACTCTGTTCTGGTATTAACATCCCCTCCCCCCATACACACACTTTAAAGTGCTATATAAGAGTGAGGTATGTATGTATTTGTAACTTCTAGATATTCACTTTTATTCACAAAAGCTACAGTCATACTATAACTTTGCTTTAATATTCCCTTTTGAAATAACAAAGGTCAATCCCTAACTCACAGCCTAGAGTGTGGTAGCTGAACGTAGAATGGGAGAGCTTTTGTATATAAAAAACAATGATGTCGTGTGTGGTTGCAGCATTCTATTTCTTTTTCCCTGAATAAATTTTGCAAAAGACCCATGCAAATTCTGATCATGTAGATGATTAAGATCTAGAGAGTGTGTGTCTAGGCTAGATAAACATAGTCCTGACACTGAAAACAAGTGGAGCAGCCTATCTGAGAACTACAGTAGCACCTTGCTCTAAAGGTTTGGAGTCACAGTTTATGACTTAGATTTGCAACTAAACAAACAAACACAAATTTAAAAAAAATCAAGGATACTGCATCACATTGCAAAATGTACCCTGGTCACATATTTAGACAAATGTAGTGCATGCACAAAGATGTACAAATACATAAAGTTTTAGAGCAAGGAGACCTCAGCACAGCACTGTGCTATTAGATCTTTGCTAAGAAGTGAAGTGAGACCTCTGGGATTTTTGTGAAAACCCTATAACGTAGGAAGGGATTGATTTGCAGGTTGGGATACTTGAGGCAAAGTACTGATTTACCCACAGAAGGTCACATACTGAGTCAATGGCAGTGTTGGGAATATAATCCAGAAATCTGGATTCCTAGTCATTAGACAATATTTTCTCTAGAACAGCAATAAATTAGCCTGAGCAAATGGTTAAAACATCCTTACTGCAAAAGTGTGTTGTCTGATTCTTAGAAGGGAACTAGCAACAGCACCACACTGGAAGAATTTTTCTGTCTCTCATTGAAAAACTTGGACAAATAACTAGTTAACAGGGGTTGAACATTCCAGATTAAGTTCAGGCTGAATAAGGAGGTTGAGTGAAAGGCTAAATCATGGCTGGGGTTTCACATCAGATTCAACAACTCTGGTAAAATCTTGTGAACTCGTCCCACAAGATTTTGAATAGTAAAAATCTCACGAGTAGATTCTTATAAGAGTTTTGGCTGAATCCAAACCAGAATTGGAAAATAAACTCTTTACTCCTTTGGATACAATCTGCAACCAAAATTATAGGAGCCAGTTCAGATTTGTGGATTCAAATCCAAACATACTCAGCTCAAAGGACCTGAGGTTTCAGCCCTTCATGGCAGGGACTGTCTCTTTTTAACAGGTGTCTGCATCATTCCTACTCTGATTGGCGCATATAGGCACTACTGTAATATAATTAATAACTGTACACTATGCATTTTTATATAACAATGCATTGCTATGACTCAAGTTTTTCAATGTTGTTGATTAATAAGCAAGAGAGACATGAAGTCCACATAGATTCACAGCTTTTAAGGCCAGAAGGGACTATTTTGATCATCTAGTTTGACTTTGCAGAACACAGGCCATAAGAATGGGAAGATTAAGCAATACAATATGAAAAGCTGATTTATGTTTTTTAAAACTTGCATCTGGAATATGTTCAAAATGAAAATTGGACTTACAGGAATTCCACTGGCAGACTTTCTTTCTATCCATTCAAACTGGTGCACAGCAAAGCACACCAAATATGTGCTCATTGGGACAGATTTCTGAAAAGTTGTCCTGTTCCAGCCATCACCTACTTGAACCGTTTGCTGAAGAAGGAGAAAAATAATTCTTACCTTGTGAAACTGCAAACATATGCATAAAAGAGTAAAATATTCAGATATAAACAAGAGCTATAGGAATGACTAATTGTCTCTCTGGTTTTACACAGCCCATGGGATGGGAACATGCAAAGTGATTTTTTTTCTTAAAGGTGGAATGCATATGATGGGGTTTTGTTTTTATGCACTAAGAATGAGTTTTCTTATTTCTAGCTGTTTGCATTAAGAAATCAAACCATGCATGTCTGTGCTTATATACTGTTGTTAAGATGAGCTTTTCAATATGCTTGAGTTCCGTTTAATGTATTTTCTAGCTAGCCTTCTTGAAATGGCTCCACAAAACCAAAATGGAGAAATTAAAGATTGGGCCGAATTATGCCCTCCTTTAAACCTGTGCAACTTTCCTGAAGCTAGTGAGGTAGTACAGATGTAACTGAGGGCAGAATTTAGCCCACTGAATCCAATCCAGTTTCAGTAGTAATTAATGCTGTAAACCTTGGTGGGTTTGCTTTGCAAGGGGTTGTTCAGACACCCTTTTGTTCTTAGAGCTGGCCAGATTTTTGGTTTGTTAATCCATTGCAAGCCAGTCTTGATTTTAGCAAATGTACTTGGTATTCTTAAATATTTGCTGAATAGTTTGGACAAAATACTTCAACTGTTCATTATCTGTTACTGGTCATGTGGTGTGTGTGTGTGTATATATAGGTGTGTGTGTGTGTGTGTGTGTATATATATATATATATATAATATATATGTGTGTGTGTATATATATGTGTGTGTGTATATATATGTGTGTGTATATATATAAAATCTCTCTCTCCCTGGTTGGATGAGACTCTATAAAAGTAAAAAAGGCAATGGCAAATAATAGATACTATACCTATAGTAGAAATACAATAAACTTCTGCAATGTTTGTGAATAGCAGCCTTTACATGAATAACAGATGTTTTTATACCACAAGCAAATTAAAGTAAATTTATATAGTCACAAATCTGTTTTTTCCCATTATTCGAGCAGCTCTGTTCTGATATCTCCTGTCCCCAATATCCCTTTGAGTTTTTAAGACTGAGTACCCCCTAATCTCAAAGAAACATTCAAATGAAATCAGCATTTCCCTGTTCTTTCAAAAGTAAATTTCACACAATTTCGTGCAAAATAATTGTTTCATGCAAAACAGTCAAATCCTTTTGTAGAACCTTCCATTCAGTCTTTTTATGCTTTGAACATCTTTCCAAAATATGTTAACTATGCTTCTACTTTCAAGTTACTCAAATTGCTCCTAGAAACTCCATCAGCATTTCCTACAAAAATGAAGTAGTCTATGAAAAACATCAGTAAGTTTCTAAGCCATGTCTACACTCAGAGGAAAAAAAGGTGTATTTTTAGCATATAAAAACACAAGAGATACCATACTGGGTCAGACCATGGTCCATTTTGCCCAGTTGCCTGTGTCTGACAGTAGACCATACCAGAGTTTCAGGGAGAGTGTAAAGAACAGGGCATTTAGGGGTGGATCACTCCATATCTTCCACTCATGGCTTCTGGTAGTCAGAAGTCTAGGGTCACCCCAAAGCATGCGGTTGTGTCCCTGTCCATTCTGGTTAATAGCCATTGTTGGACCTATCCTCCATGAACTTATCTAGTTCTTTTCTGAACCCAGTTATACTTTTGACCATCAAAACATCCTATGGCAACAGAATTCCACAGGTTAGTTGTGTGTGTATGAAAAAAAAAAATACTTCCTCTTGTTTGTATAAAATCTGCCTCCTATTAATTTTATCAGGTGAACTCTGGTTTTTGTATTGTGGGAAAGAGTAAATAACAGTCTCTATTCACTTTTTCCACATCATTCATGATTTTATAGGCTGCTATCATATCCCCACTTAGTTGTCTCTTTTCTCAGATGAACAATCCTAATCCTTTTAGTCTCTCCTCACATAGAAGTAGTCCAAACTCTTGCTCATCTTTGTTGCCCTTCTATGAATCTTTTCCAGTTCCACTATATCCTTTTTGAGATGGGGCTACCAGAACTGGACACAGTATTCAAAGTGTGGGTGCACCAGGGATTTATATAGTGGCATTATGATATTTTCTGTCTTAATTTCTGTCCCTTTCCTAATAGTTCTTAACATTCTGTTAGCCTTTTTGACTGCTGCTGCAGACTGAGTAGAAGTTTTCTGAGAACTATCCATGGCGACGCCAAGATTTTTCTTGAGTGATAATAGCTAATTTAGAACCCATCATTACATATGTGTGTTACTTTGCACATATCAAAACTGAATTTGGTCCTGCTTTGATCAGGAGGTTGGACTAGATGACCTCCTGAGGTCCCTTCCAACCCTGATATTCTATGAATTTCATCTGCCATTTTGTTGCCCAGTCACCACTTCTGGGAGATCCCTCTGTAGCTCTTTGTCAGCTCTGTGTAAGCTCGAAAGCTTTCTCTCGCACCAACAGCAGTTGGTCCAATAAAATATTACTCTTCCCACTTTGAGTCTTGAATATCCTGGTACCAACACGGCTACAACACCATTGTGTATCATTTATATATATCCAATAGGGGAGACAAGTCTACAATATCTGTGCATGTGGAAGCCCAGGGATAGGCAGCTAATGAGAAAATGTGATTCTCTCCTGCATTGGGATTGGCATTGCTGTGTTGTGTTCTACTGTTGAGCCTTGGTGGCCAGTAATACACAACTAGGAATGATAACGAAATAACCAGTCCTATTTTATATAAATCTTATTTAACCTTAAGCTGTATAGCTTCTGAGATAACAAATGATCTGTTAACACTCAAGGGTGTTCAGGTTTGAATTACTCTTACATTTGTTTTACAGAATCATTCTACTTAAGTAGTACATTTGTGAAATACATACCTCTACGGGCATGTTTGCGAGTGCTTTGAATGGTTCTTTATGGATGATTGATATGGTGTAAGTTGCCTTTTTGTTGGGCTCATCAAAGCAAGGAAACGACTTCCGTGCATCTGTTGGCTCATGATCAGTAGCTGCTATGCTCCTTTAAAATAAACAAAAAGCTTGTTGCATTGTCCTAAGCCTTCATGATAGCCATTTTTTGTTATTTCCATGTATGAACATAATTGTTTGTTAGTACTGCAAACTGTAGTAGAACCAGCAAAAGTTTTATTGTCAGTGGTCTTTTTATAAAGATACAACTTAAATATTTATAACCCTCAAATATACTTAGGCTTCTAGAAGTCATGACCAGTAGGTATTTTAACAAAAAACAAGTAAAACTGCTGATCACAAATGGAGGATGTGCTTAAATATTTTTTAAGAGCAGGAAAAGTAAAATACAAGCAGTTCCTCCCATAGTAAGGGGAAATCCTGCTCATCCTACCGATGTGAGTAATCCCATTGACTTCATATTAGTAAACATTAGTAATGTCATCAACTAAAAGGAAACTAAAGCCCTGATCTAGCGATGAGCTCTGAATGAATGGACTGCTCTGCCCATAGGAAGCGCCACTGATTGGGTCTTCCTGGAGCTCATTACAAGATCGGGACCTGAGCTTCTCTTGGAAAGACATCTTCAAAAGCTTCTGAGTGATGGCTTAACTCTACCCCCACAAAATACTGAAGCTGCCTGCACAGTACTTTCTTGTTATAGGCATTTATCACTTAGAGGTTACCCTGTACATCTGCCTGCCAGTGCTGCTAAACTTTACTGACTCCAGTAATGAATTGTGCACTGACATGAAATGTTTGAAATAGGGTAGAACACTTAATGACAAATCAGTGCAAGTGCGTTTGCGTGTTTTAGCTTGGAAGTGAAGTGGGCTCACTTAGATAGAAATGACTAAGGGAATTGTTGCAAAATAGGATCATTTAGAAAATGTTGCCAAGGCTTTTATGAAACATCCTCCTACATGAAATCAAGTTTTCCCCTATCAGCATGCTGTTCAGGGATGGAGCATGCTCTCTGTTCTGATTGATGGGGGAACGCATCTCCGATATCTCTTCAATTAATTTGGAATGCGGTGCATTTTCGGACAGCATTTCTGCTCAAGCTACATTAGGGTAAGGTGTGGATTTTTTTATTATTCTTTCCCAAAAAAAGTAATTAAAAATACTCATAATAAATTATAGATCTTTACCACCATCACAAGTTCACTAGACAGCCAATTTTTCAATGTTTCTGTTGCTTTTCGCTTTCCCCTGTGATGGTTAAATCTTAAACTGGTAATTAAGAACCTATAGTAGCAGCTAGGTTCATGTAGAAGTCTGAGGAAGTAATACATCTCGACTTTTACTATTCATATTCATTTGGACACTCACTCAAGTGCCTTGAATTCATGGTCTTGGAGGAAGAAGTGTAATGAACATCACCTTATCTAAACCTCTCAAAATAGCTTAGACCTAATGGAGTTTCTTCTGCTTTGTAAGTTTTGTCCCATTCTCCTCTTTGTAGGGTTTGGGAGATATTTCACAACCAAGTTAACTTCAATCCCTTGGGCATTGTTTTACAGCAGTTGCTTTAAGAAATTGCTGTATGTTTGGACACTCTTCTATCCATGTTCCTAAAGACTGATAACACAAGAACCTTTTCACTGATTTATAAGGTGATAAACCATATATCCTCATGCATTTGTGGTGGGCAGAAACACCAGTGATGCAATTCCCCAATGCCACAATTCATGGGGGTTGATTCAGAGACCTCTAGACCAGGACATGCTCCTGTGCAGGCAAGTGGTAATTAAAGAAAAAATGAAATATTGTATAACTTGGTTTTAAGATAAAAACCCTCCCTTTTGTATAAGGTGGATTCTGCCCCTGCAATTTCTGTTGATCTCTAGGTTTTTAAAACATGAACCAGAAGTGACAAAGTTGTAAATATACCAGGAATATTAAGAGGAGATCTGTCTGTGACCACATGCAGCTGTTGTTCCCAAAATAAAACATTGCTACATTTAGAGCGATGATAAATTACCATTTTTTGCCAAGCATATACAGATTTGAGAGAGAGAGAGAGAGAGAGAGAGAGAGAGATTTGTCTCCCTCAGTTAAGTAATGGATTTTCATACATTTTTTTGCAAACATAGATTCATCACTTTCCCAGGGAAATTTTGGCACTTTAATAAGGATACACAGTCATGGCAAAATGTGTTTTCTGCCTGCCACAACTGCCTTGGCTTCCTTTTAAATAGAGAAAATTCAAGGAGAGAATGGAAAACTATTTCACATCTGTGCAACCAACAAAACCAGGAATACCAGCTTCCTTATCAGCTGGAGATGTGCCCAAACTAGCACCATTTGAGCCCCCCTCCACGCCCACACAATGCTTCACTTCAGAGGTTTGAATAAAAGGGAACTCCGATCTGAACCAGATTTTAGTTATGCAAAGCCAAGACACAGCTGCCTTGCCCATCTGTATCCTCAGTAATACCAGAAGAAAAGAAACTGGAGTTACTTCACATCTCTTGATGGCAGCTGAGGATTAAAAAATTCTGTCACGCTCTAGGCTGATGCTTATTTGGCACTTTTATAGGTCTCGTTATTCTCACATCAGAGCACCTCACATTCTGTTTATTGTATTTATCCTCACCACAACCCTGTGAGGTAGGAAAGCGCTATTATCCCCATTTTACAGATGAAGCGCAGAGAAGCTGGTTGTTCAGTGTCATAGTGGAAGTCCGTGACAAAGAAGAGCATTAAACCCTGGTTTCCCAAGTCCCAGGCTAGTCCTCAAACCACGGACTCATCCTTCCTCTGGGACCTAACGTTGTCCTCTGGTGAATGTATAAAACCAGAGGTGGATCCAAGGGACAGTGAAGTCTGGACCTGGGCCCAGTGTATAAAGAAAAGGGGCCGCAGCAATGCTTAAGCAATCCTTTGCCCTGGCAGAAACAGCTCTCTAACGGGCTTTTTCCACTCCACCTCCTCCTCCCTGCCATTCTTCCTCTTCTCCATCAGCAGCCAGGTCCCACAGCTTCTGAGGCTGTTCAAGAGGAAAGCTAATTGCCAGCTGGCTCAGTCCCCCCCCCCCGCCCCCCCAGGTCCCCGCCCCATTCTCATAATATAGGCTGGGCTGGTAACACTGCCTATTGTTAATGCTGCTCAATTCTTCCCATGATAAGACCTGTTTTCACTTGCTTCTAACATTGCCAAACTTTTGTCATTTGGGCTAAAATCTCCCACACCAGGCATCTACGTCAGGGTGATGTTTACTGAAAAATTTCAGTCAAAATAGTTCAGTTGCTTGCTTCTCAGAACAAGGCGAGTGGAAAATAAGTTGTTTGCCCATGTTAAACAATTCTGGTGTTTTTTCCTTCGTGAATCTTTAGTCCCCGCATGCTCTGGAGGCATTTGACATTTTGGTAGGGGGTGCAAGGCCTTTGTGTCAGGACTGTGCTATGCCCATGAAAATCTGCCCAAATTTGGTCAAGTTCATAAGCCTTTGAAATATCGCAGTTTGCATATGTTCCATAGTGGCTTGTTAGAATTTGGCCTCTAAATTCACTGAAGATTTCATCTGCATTGGGCATGCTGTAGCCTAGGGCTGACTAGAACTTTCCCTGCAATTACAGCTCTGGGTTACTGAGGAGGCTGGGTACCTGAACGTAGAGCAGGAAGTCTGTCTTTCGTGTGCTCTCAATGCCCACCCAAACCTTTGACCCTACCCCACCCCCGGGCACAGTTGACATGGAAGAGGAAGCAGCCTGATTTGAATGCAGAGGGGACAAGAGCTGGACCTGAGGGGAAATCTGGGGATTATATTGGGCCAAGCAATCTTTTGTGGGGAGACTGGGACTGTAGGCTGATGGCGAGGGGAGAGGAGAAAGAAACTGGGAGTTGGGTGGGTAGACAGGGACTGGCTGGGCAAGAAGAGTGGGATTAGGGGGCAAGGAGGGAAGTGTGTAGGGGAGGGGGGAGAAGACTGATATCAGATGAAGAGCCGAGGAGGATTGGGACTGGCAAGCAGTGAAGCTGGTGGGAGAAAGGGTGAGGGAAGGCAGATCTGACTAGAAACCAGGATGTGGGGGGACCATTGGGGCAAGGAGAAAGGGAGATATGAGTGGAGGGACACAGAGCTTGAACTAGGAGCCCAGGAAGGGAGACTGGGACTGAGAGCTAATGGGGATGGAGAAAGTGGAGGGAGAAAAACAGATTAGATGAGGAACCAGAAGGGGGAAATGGGGAATTGTTGGGTGAGGAGACTGGGACTGTGCATGTTATGAGGAAGACTGGGAGTGGAGGTGGAGAGACTGGGATGTGGAGTTGTCATAACTATAAAGGGAAGGGTAACAGCTGTCCTGTGTACAGTACTATAAAATCCCTCCTGGCCAGAGACTCCAAAATCCTTTTCCCTGTAAAGGGTTAAGAAGCTCAGGTAACCTGGCTGGCATCTAACCTAAAGGACCAATAAGGGGACAAGATACTTTCAAATCTTGGGGGGTGGGGAGGCTTTTGTTTGTGTTCTTTGTTTTGGGCGTGTGTTCTCTCTCGGGACTGAAAGGGACCAGACA